AATTGATCTAAAACATGAAAAAAGATGTAAACTTGAAGAGAAAACCCTAGAAATATTATAAGTATCATAAAAGATATTAATATATAATTTTGTTTAAAATATAAAAATGAGAGGGGGCCGGGGACCACACTGGTCCCTCTGTAGCTCTACCCCTGTCTCCATTTAACGGCTTAAATCAAGCACCGTGTTTTTGACTTTTGATGTCAATGACTTCATCAATAACTAATTTTCAGGGCATTAATGGGTGCCAAAATAAATCATCATATGTCTTGACCATCTTGATTCAATTTGTGATTATGATTATGATTATAAAGCATAATTAATAGAAAAGGGATCTTCTCTGAAAAGAAAAAAATAAAAAATAAAAAAAATTCAAAACCTAACTTGTCGTAGATGATGATTGTTGTAGGACATGATTTACTTCCAGGAAAAGGCCCAGCTAAATGGTTTTCAACAAATTTGGCATATATCATCATCAATTGGATATGGTATGGAAAATTCATGTTTATCTTAAGCTTTGTGTTTGAAGTTGAAAAAAAAAAAATCCATATATATGATAAAGACACCCACATGGATCGATGCATCTTAATCATGTGTGAATAATTTTCTCAGTATTTTTCTATTCATTATTGGCCGTTTGACAAACTCAAAGAACTTGTTATTTTTGTTCAGTTCATCAAATGTGTTAATTACCAATGTTTAATTACGATGGGATAAATTGGGAAAACCATCCCAAGTTTCAACCAAGTAGCTAGGATAATGGATTATCTACTTGTTTTTGGCATTGCTTTTATGGCATGTTTACTTAGTTGGAATGACAGACGTAAGGAATTAGGAAATTAAGAAATTGAAATTGGATTAACTACTCCACCTAGTCGATTAAATTCTTGATTTTGAAGGTATTTGATTATATATTTAAAGATGGATTCATTTATATATTCAATCAGTTTCTATCCTTTTCAAGGAATTCCATTTTGGTAAGAGTTGAATTAATACTCATCCTAGCTAGCTAGCTATAATCAACAACTTCCATCTACATAATAGCTAGCCAAGCTAGGCTGATCTTATTAAATTGCACAAGGAACTGGTCACTGGTGTGTATGTGTGTGCTGAACCAGTTCATAAATTTCTCAAAATAAATGTTATTGTCAAAATAATAATATAAAAAATTTGTATACGTGTCAAACTGTGATTAGCAGGATGAATATCTCCTTACGGTATACCGCAATAGGTTTAGAATTGGAAACTAAACTACGGAAATTAGTGCGTGCAATGAAGTAAGTGGACTACAACTCAACTACCAATCTTTATAATTAAAAAAATGCATGCAGAAAACATATATATACATATTTCCTTCTTTTGCTTGCTTGCCGTACAGGAAAAAAGTCTTCTTTAAGCTCCATAGATGAAAACCATATCAATTTTTTTATATATTTATTTATCACAATATATAATGCAAAGGCTAATCTGCCACGCCTTTCCGTCGCTGTCAAAACCGAAACTCAGTCACGGAAAGCATATTGGCTCTTCACTACCCATATATGGAACCTTCTTGTTTTGCTTTTTGTCTACAATTATACATTTTTTTACTAGCTGTCTGCATTGAATCTTTGGTTATTGGGCATGCATAATTGATGTCTCAAGTTTGAGTCGGTCACAAATGGGCAGCCAGTAGCATTCCTGTGTGCTTTTGTTCATGTCAAAAATGCTCATATATTGCCATCACCTGGTCACATTCTGGCTAATTTTCAACTCGAAACCAAATCAATGCACTATTTATACACATGGTATGCAAATAAAGCCTGTTGGTTTGATAGGGAAATGACATTATAGCACTTGTTGGACCGTGGAAAATGATTGTTAACTATCAATGTATGAATATATATATATATAGGTAGTAGTTGTGGTTCACACATCAATACGCATAATCAGTGTCATCTCTTGAGTCATTCGTTTATCTATACCAATTTATTCATCTTAAATTATGATCGACACACATGATTCTCGTCAATAAAAGTACTCCAGCCTTAGTTTTTTTTAATATACATATACATATATATATATATATATTACCATGACTTAAAATGTTGAGGTATCTTCTGTGGAATAATTATATGTTTCATAATTAAATTAAAAAACCTCTTTTCACACACGACTTTTTTAAATCAATCAATAATATATATATACACACACATACATATACAATTAAAGTCAATAATGATGAATATGATACCATGTATGATTCAGTTAATGTGTCTCTTCCATACCGAATAATGAAATTATTGCCTGTTGCAAAACATCAATATCTTGTCGAGAACGACTGCAAATCAAAGATGAAAGATGGTTTTTGAGGCACAACTTCATGCGTACACAGATTACATTATTTTATATTAATTATAACAAAAGGACATTTAAAATATTTAAATATAATAACAAGGCGTGAAATCAACAATATCCATATATCATATTCAACGACCGTCTCTAAGAAATAATAACTTGAACAAGAGTCGGATTGAGACATCAAATTGGTCTTTGCCTTCGAACTATTGAAGTAAGAGGTCTGACGATTGCATGGGAATGCAAATTAACACTGCTTCTGTTGCATAGAGGTCAACAACAACTACCATTGTTATTTCAAAAGCATATCCATATTTGTTAAGAAATTAAAGTTCCCGTCAAATCATCTAACTATTCATAGACCATTGATAACCGTTGATTAATTATGACCACATTTATATTCATAGACCATTGATAACCATTGAATCTAAATTTTATGATGCAACTCATCAATCAATTATAATAAAAATATATTACGCTTTTTATTTTTCTAAATAAGAAACCTTTTAACCTTGTAATGTGCATATTGTGGTGGCCACATATCGAGTTATATAAAGATTTTGTGATGCTTCATGTTAATTAACCTGTCTAGCTACAGGGGAGAAAACGACTTCCCATCATGTTAATTTTAGGTCTAGTTTGGGATTGCTGCCACTTTGAAAAAAAGTTGCTTTTGCTGTGCGTTGAAAATAATTAGCTGTAAAGTAAAACAACTCATTGTTTGGTAAAAAAATATTTTTAAAGTGCTATTATTACAAAAAGCAGTGTTAAAATCGTTTGGTAAATTTTAATATAAAACTATTGTAACTGTGAATAATGACTAAAATATACATGATGTCGAAAGTGTTATGTGCTAATCATGTGGTGGTAGTGGTGGCGATGGAGTGGAGGTGGTGGTGAAAGATATGGAGGTAAAGGTTGTGGTGGTGATGATGAAGGTGGAGTTGGTGGTGGTGGAGATGCCGATTGTGGAGGTGGTGGTGGCAGTGGCAACGTCTTGGTGTTGGTGTTGGTTGTGGAGGTGGTGGATAAGGATGATGAAGAGGAGGATTTGGTGATGGTAGTGACGGTGGTTGTGGAGGTGGTGAATATGGTGATGGAGTTGGATGTGCAAGTGGAGGTGGTGTCATTTTTTAAAATAAATAATGGTATTTTGGGAATTAAAAAAATTCATTAAAGGCTCATCTCTGCTTCTTTTGAAAACGGCTTTGAAAAGCAATCCAGAGTCTACTTTTAAAAGCTGCTGTCAAAAGGTCACTGCTTTTAAAATAATCAGAATATTTTATTTTACCAAACACCTTAAACTACTTAACTTTAAAGTTAAACATATTTTTGATGAAAAAAAAAAAACCAATCCCAAACAGGGCCTTACTCACCCTAAAAAAGCTAGAATCAACTTTTAACAAAATCAAAAGATTCATTCCCTTAATCAAATTAAAACTTGTCTATCATGTATGTAAGAAGGCAGCCACTGTAATTAACCCGAGCGTTTTGCACTATCAAATGTTGCAATCTTATTATAGAAGCTAATGATAAAGAACATCATTCTAATTTAGATTCAAATGTAAAATAGTATGTAAAACCGATTAAATAATCCGATTAGTTGAAATATAATCTAAAAATGTCAAATTCTGAACCATTAAAATTCCTAATCAACCACTCAATTGGTCGTCCACACTTCCCCTAAATTCTAAGCATGAACATTAATATTCCATCGATTTGGGCATGGCCAAGACTTGATGAATCATGAGGATGCCTTGAACCTAGAACAAAAAGCCAGAAAGAATTACATGTCGTGGTCAATTAAAGATGGTGTTAACAACAAATTAAAATGGACCAACACTAATATCTAGTATTGTCTTTATCACGATTAGACATAGGATGGATGGATGGATGGATGGAAAAATATGGGAGCTGAAGTCGGTACCTTGGGATAAGAGTTGTTGCGCAACAAAAGGTTACAAGTTTTGTTCTTCTTTCTTTTTACTTTTTGTGCAAAAAAAGGTTAAAAGTTTAGATGATCCCAAACCCAAGCTTGATATCAAGTCGACACACATTGGTAAATGGTCAGCAATTATAAAGGCATGCCAAAGTGTGGTCAGAATAATAAGAGATTTGACCACATGCACACTAGACTATCGTAAGCAATCTGAAACCACCCACCACCAATTACTTTACTTCAATGAGAGTTAGATTTGTTCGAATGGGATGAAAGATAAAGGATATACGTTGAGGAATGTTTCTAGAATTTCCAAGATACCAAAGTTGTAAACCAATTTCACTTTCTTTCAATCTCATCACATTCCACTCATACATCATGAATTTGAGCATCAACAAATTTGGGTTGCTTATTACATGGATGGGAGGAGTCTGTAGGGATTTTTCTTTGTAGCTTCCTTTTGGGATCAAATACTCATACACACGTCTTTCTAACATATGCTAGCATCACCCAAAAAAGCTAGTGAGATGATTCAATAGGAAAACAGCAGAAAACCAAGTCAAGGAAA